TATATATATATAATTGCTAGCTAAGCAATAAATTTTACCTAATAAATAAAATCTAATAAATTTTACTTATGTGGCAAATCATTAATAAAACCTAATAAATAGAACCTAATAAATTTTATTTATGTGGCATTAATACACTCAATCTCATTAATAAGAAAATATTTCATTACATTTTTTGGGTTAATTAAGACAAAAACTATTATATTTTATGTTAATTGATTAATAATTATATTTTTTATTGAATAATATAATAGTTAATATTAAAATTAGTAATTATATTTTATACTAAATAATATATGAAAGTTACATAAAATTATATTCTACACTAAAATCAATATTTTTTTATATGATGAAGATGTTGTTTATTAATAAATTAATTTTTTTTATGTCATAGTAAAATTTCTTAAAATCACATAAGCAATTGTTATAATAAATGTAATATTTTTCAGCTAATTAATTGGTTATGATAACTCGAAATTATAAAAAGTATATATTTATTGCATTTTATGCAATCAATATAGTGATTCGTATACAATCAAATCGTGTGTACTATTTATTTTAACCAATGATCAACTATTATATAATTTATAATTTTAATATTATATACATAAAAATAACTTATAATACTATATGTTTGAAATATAATACAATTATATAACTTATAATTTTTATATTATATACATAAATATAACTTATAATATTTAATTTTATTTACATCTGTGCAAATGCACAAGGTCGAATACTAGTTTATTTTATAATCAATCATAACGTGATTTAAAAGTATCTAGTTGCCTACTGAAGTTAATTTATTACAGACACAACCACATTATAGATATTAAAGGTAATTTGTTATTGCAAACACAACCACCATATAGATATTTATAAAATAAAATTTTGAAATACCAATATATAATGATGAATGTTGAATAATTATATTAAGATTTAAAATTTGGCTTCGAGTTGGTGAAAGTTGATACAATAGAGAAAATACATATAAAGTTATGGGGTCAAATTGATAAGTGATAGTTAGAGGGGGCAATCCATAAAACTAAGGAATAATTCATAATGCGTAATTTTACTCAACTGCTATTCACCGCCCCCCTTTTACTTGTCACCGCCCCCCTCCAATTACTCTTTTGCCCTTAACCTTTTTTTGGATTTCATCTCTCTAAACTTTATCTCTCTAAATTTTCCGAACTTCAACGAACGATACGAGCATAAAAAAAAATCCGAAAAAATGTCGAAAAAATTCTACGGCCTCGGCAAAGGATTCTTCTCCGACAAGGTATTTTTTTTTTTTTTTTTTTTTTTTGCTGCGATCGAAAGNNNGTAAGTATTTTAAAAAATTTTTTTTTTGAAACTGCCGGACCGGCCGGCCGGCGATTCCGGCCGGTCCGGGTCCGTCCGGCCGTCGGCTTTATTTTTTACTGCCCATAATTATACATCAATTTAATTTAATTATAGCAATCTATGAAAAAAAAATATGGAAAAAAAACTTTTAAATACTGCCCAATCTATATATTCAAGACAGAATTAAAACAAAATACACAAATTTGTAAATCGACCCCCTTTCTTCTCAAAATCAACGTTTACCGACGCAAACTTTGCTCGACGCCGGTAAGTCTGCGGCCGGTCACGGCCGACTCATCATTCATTCTACTGATTATACGGTTCTCTCTATATATATTGCTCGATTTTCGGTCGTCGCGTTTTCAGCTACAGGTGTTTGATTTCCCGGCATTTTATATATTTTTGTTTTTTTATTTGAATTACCGGTTGATACCAATCAGTCTTTGCCCCAATTGAAAACCCATAATTAGTTTGGTGAGAAATTATGCACAAATTAAATTTGCCCCAAATTGATGAAACCCTAACCTGTTATATTTTTAATTTATGTGTCGATGTATTTTTTAAATTTTATTTTTTAATCTCAAAATTATTGGTTCTTCTGATACAGGCATTTGATTTTAGCTTGACCAATTTGCATGCTTGTGATGGCACTGTATGTTTGTGTCTGTGCATGTGATCAGAGTACTGGAAAATTCAAGGCTATTAATTTGATTAGCTCAATTCGATGAGTGTTTAGTTGAAGCAGTGGATTTCAGTTGCCCCATTACTTCCATTTTACTTCGTTAATTTTTCATTGGAATATTCGCTGGGTTAGATGCTCCTTGTTTGTCTTTGAGACGAGCACACACTATAATGCTGACTGAAGCGGACAGTTTTAGTCATGTGTTATATTTTGATGATAGTCTTGTTATATAGTTTTGCTTTGAAGGGCTGAGGAGTCAGTTGCTATGTTCATTAAATTGCTACTTTAATATATTTATTAATTGTTAAAGAGATATCTGTTTGTTTGTTTGTTTTTTCCTTTTCTTGAATTTCAATAAACTAATTCATATTAGCTTTACAGGTCTCCTCGCATAGTTTGGACATTCTGCTACTTGTGCACAGGAGTTGACTAGTTGCATTGCTCCAGCTAACTTATCACGATATTTGTGTCTACTTATTGGATGTGACACATAGTTACCCGTCTTAGATAAAGATGAATTTGCAGACGCACCAGACCGGACAAGTGTCCAACCAAGCTAATTCTATGTTGCCTAGACTACCTCAGCAAAATGGAAACCCTGTGTCTAATCAGATGCAAAATCCTAATGCTCGTCACAGTGTCCCAATTATCAATCAGGAAATTCTTCAAATACGCAGACATATGCAAGGGAAGATGTAAGACTTCTCCCCATTTATTATTTCCAATTTCCATGAGACATACCTTTTTCTAATACGATGGTGTAGATGGCATAAAATATTATCTGTCTAAGGATTTCAAACATTCTCGTTTGCAGCTGGGAATTTCTTGTGCAGCGGTGCAGACAACCTCAGGATGTAGCCAATAAAAAACTAGGTGATCTCGTGAAACGTTTGGAAGATGGTTTGTTCAAGTGTGCTACTACAAAGGTTTGTAACCTTTATTTTACGTCGTTTATTTTTTAGAAGAAGAGTTCTGTTCTCCAGTATCTTCCTGAATAGCTGAAGCTTTTTCATGTATGACAAATGCAGAGAACTAGTCAGCTATATATTTGAGTTGCTAAGGGTGTGATTGGATATGGATTTGATTTGGTTTTGATTGGTTTTTTTGTTAACCGTAGTTAATTTTGAAAAAGGTGACATGGTTAGTTGTTAGTGGGATTTTTATATTAAAATATTATTTAAAATAAAATAATTAAAGTTGATTTGATTCAAAAGTAGGAGAGAGATGGTGTGAAGTGATGATGGTTAGTTAAAATTATCTGAATGGATGAATAATGAATTAAAGTTGATGTGATTTGTAAGAATGATTGATTGGTATTATTTAATTATATTGGTAACATTGAGGATAGTNAAAAAAAAAAAAATGCTTGTTAAAAATGATTGGTTGTGTTGGCTCAAATCCATATCCAATCGCACCCTAAGATTCTTGCATGAACTTCATACTAGTAAAGTACTAATATTCAGGAACCTTGCATGTCTATATACTTATTGTTGTGTTCTTATTCTGTCAGGAGGAGTATATGGACCTCTCTACTCTGGAACAGCGTTTACATGCTATTATTAAGCGCCCAATGAGTAATCACAGTCAGCAGTTACCGCATGCTAATTCTTCCCCTCCTATTGGTACAATGATCCCAACTCCTGGATTTCAACAAACTGGTAATTCAAGCTTGTCCGGGACTTCATCCGTTGATAGTTCCCTTGCAGCCATGAATAACTCAAACTCAATCGCTTCATCAGCCGTCAGTTCTGGTGGCTTCGTGCCAATGCGGAACTTGTCTGCTGGAAGTGTGCACTGTGGATTCAGTTCATCTGATGGTAAATTTTTAGTCGTGCCCCTCTCAGAAAGAGTTAGATTTCGAGTTAATAATTCTCAATTGACCTTAAAGATTGGAATATCTCCAAGGATTTAGCAGTGGATAGGAGCGCTTGGAGGCTAGCAATCCACGTGCCAGAACCGTGACTTTTGCTCTTTTCTATTTTTGTTCCAACCTCTTCCTTTTTGTTTCGAACCCTTTTTGTGTTTCTCTTTCCATTATTTCTCTCGCGTTTCATCTCTAGCCTACCCCGACTTGCTTGGGACTAAAGGCTTTGTTGTTGTTGTTGTTGTTGTTGTTGTTGTTGTTGTAATTCTCAATGGACTCACGATATGATTTTCTTGTAGGTAATTTAGCTACCGGATATCAGCAATCATCCAATGCCTTCGTATCCATTAACGGTGGAAATAGAATGATAGCATCCATGAGTGCACAGAGAATGACGACCCAAATGATCCCTACTCCTGGAATCAACAATTCTAATAATAATGACGTAAATATGAATGCCAATAACCAGACATTTGTTAAGGTAGAGTCCTCGACTAGTGGTGGTGCATGCCCCACTGTTGAGCCTACTAGCTCGTCACAGATTATGCTGCAAAAGCAGAATGCCGGAAGTCAAAATAGTCGGATATTGCATAATATTGGTGGGCATATGGGTGGTGGAATCAGATCTACATTGCAGCAGAAGTCATTGGGATTATCAAATAGGCCCGGGATTATCAAACAGGTCCCTGGGATCACTGAGGGGCATGTAACCGAGACAGTGTGTGGGACCTCTACAAAACCATTGCATCAACCGTTCGACCAATATCAACGACCGAGAATGAGCGGTACCGAATTTTCCTCGTCACTTCTGAGTTGGATGCTTGGGCAGCAATTGGATAAACATTCTTGAGATTCTCCTCCAAGAATTATATTAGAAAATTTTCAAAATTCTACAATTCATTCACAATCATTTTACTTGCCACTTATTATTTGAATTCATTTTGGTAATATATTCATTATCAAATTAGTTACCATTGCTACACATTTTTCCATAATTCTTACCATTCACCTACCCGCATATTTTAACATCCAATTGTTTATCTACTCAAAAGTTTTAATGTCCAATTATATTCACTTGTATTTTAGATCTCACTATAGCTTCCAAGCTGTATGCTCACCATTCTTTTTCTGTCTCGACAGGTGACGGAATTGGAACTTCTGATGCTTCAGTGTCTGCTAATATGACCTCTGTTGGGTCGATGATGAACAATCATAGTTTGAATTCAGGTTCCATGCAATCCATGCCTACAGTAAGCCCTCAAATGATGACTAGCTGTCGGTCAAATGCATACTCTACTCAACAGTCAGCAACCATTGATTATCAATCAACTCAACATCCAGAGAATAGGAGTTTCCAACCACAGCACCTCCAGCACCCACAAGTTCTACATTCATCCCCTCAGTCAATTCAGCACCGGCAAGTTGCTCAGAATCAATCTCAACAGAAGAACCAAACGCAAAACCAGCTCCTGATGAAGTGTGATTCTTCCAGTCAACCCCAGGCAGCTTCCGAAGTTAAGCCTCTGATTAAGACAGAGCTTCTTGATGATAGTCAACTGTCAAACCCTTTCCATTTACCTGGCATGAGGAATCAGTTTCAACATAGCTCTCTGGAAGAGCTTCCTGGGGCTTCTCAGCTTTTGTTACTGCCATCTGGTCATCCTCGACAGTTTGGTGCTAACCCTCAACATGATTTTACCCTTTCTGATAGCATTAAACCAGATGAATCAATATATCAAGGTGTGCTCAATCAAGTCAACAACAGAATAATCGGGCAAGATTTAGCTCAACCTAATAAATTATCATCAGAAGAATCAGTGATTGGTCGACCCGACTCTTCCCAATTGGGAGATGGTATATCCAACAACATTAATCGTGAAAAGCAGTTCAAGAACCAACAGAGATGGCTGTTGTTTATGAGGCATGCCCGTCGTTGCCCAGCCCCAGAAGGGAAATGCTCCGACAACAACTGCTTTACCGTTCAGAAGCTGTTGAAACACATGGAAAATTGTAATATGTTCCAGTGTACGTATCCCCGTTGCCGAGCTACGAGAGTTTTGATCAATCATCATAGACGCTGTAGGGATGAGAGCTGCCCTGTTTGCGTTCCCGTTAAGAATTTCGTGCAGGCGCAACTGAAGCAGCTTGCCCGTTCTGATTTTAATCCCGGGATGACTAGTTCGGTTGATGTATCTTTTGATCCTCACGATACTGCTGAAATTGGGGGAAGATCAACTGCAGACACTAGCCCGGTTATTGCTGAAGTTCCGGAAGAGTTGCAACCTCCGACTAAACGCACCAAATTAGAACAAGGCTCCCAATTTGAATGTTCTGTTGCAATGAATTCTCATCATTCGGAGCAGCACCATGATTCTGTACCTCCTTTGAGATCTGAAATTGCAGAAGTAAAAATGGAGATTCCTGGAAGCGTGGGACAATTAAATCCCAAAGATACCGAGACGATAAAGGAGACGAAACACGAAGTTTGCATCCACAGTGCAGAAGTTGATCCTGTAGCACCAAATAACCCTGATGGAGTTGGTGTTCAGGAGGACGTTAAGACTGAAAATGAGATGGATCAGGGTAAGATGGAAATCACTTCAGTACAATCTGAGAATGCAGCCAAGTCTGGGAAGCCGAAGATAAAGGGGGTATCAATGATTGAATTGTTCACCCCTGAACAAGTCCGTCAGCACATTACTGGTCTTAGACAGTGGATAGGCCAGGTCAGTTTTTGTTGTACATGTTTCTATGCTACTATCTTGATAGTTATGACATTATTTTGCTGTCTCTATACTGCAAATATGCTGCATATTTGTATTTAACAAGAAAATCGCCATTAATAGGCTCCTGAAATGATACCCTATGCAGCTCAGGCCGTATGAAGTTTCATTATAGTCATGAACTACAAAATTGAACTGCAATTATGCACTAGAGATAATTCAGAAGCATGATTCCTTCCATTTCTGGTTTCCTTTTTTGTCGTTTTAGGTTATAATAATATACCAATGCCTTTACCTTCCTTCTCAACTCTCAAGAAGCATAATTTAACAGATATGCTTGTTAAATGTTTTATTCACCTCCACCTGATGCCTCATGCATTTTTTATTTTTATTTTTATTTTTCACAGAGTAGAGCAAAGGCGGAGAGAAATCAAGCGATGGAGCATTCGATGAATGAAAATTCTTGCCAGTTGTGTGCAGTAGAGAAGCTTACGTTTGAACCTCCTCCTATATATTGTACTCCTTGTGGGGCACGTATCAAAAGAAATGCACAATATTACACTGTTGGAGCTGGTGAAACTCGTCATTGCTTCTGTATTCCATGCTACAATGATTCTCGTGGAGACACTATCATGGTAGATGGATCTACTATTCCAAAGTCAAAGGTGGAGAGGAAGAAAAATGATGAGGAGACTGAAGAATGGGTATTTCTCATCTACTGGCAAATGTTTTCTCTTGTTTAACATAGTACCATCAGATGCCAAATGTTTTATTTTCTTTATTTTTTTACTTATTATTTCATATTGCAGTGGGTTCAATGTGACAAGTGTGAGGCTTGGCAACATCAAATATGTGCGTTATTTAATGGTAGAAGAAACGATGGTGGACAAGCTGAGTATACTTGTCCAAATTGTTATGTAGAAGAAGTTGAGAGAGGCGAACGCATGCCATTACCACATAGTGCTGTTCTTGGAGCAAAGGATTTGCCTAGAACAAATCTCAGCGATCACTTAGAGCAGCGATTATTTGCGAAGTTGAAGCAAGAAAGGCAAGACAGAGCGAGGCTTCAGGGCAAAAATATTGATGAGGTGATTGAATTATACTTGTTGTTATTATATGATAAACTGTAGGTCTTTCATAATTTGGTAGCTTTATATATATGTTTCATATAATTTTTCTTTATGGAAATTTAGAATTTGGAATTATGATCTACAATTCATAGTCAGCTAGGTAGTGGTATCGAACATAGTAATAAGCATTAGACCAAATGATGATGTGTTTTTTATTGGATTTACTGAATTATTATGATATCTTTACTTCTATCATCTCAGTTGTCTAGATATGCAGAATTCTATGTACATCTGTTGTCTAGGTGTATAAATGTTGTGCTTATTCTTCCAGGTTCCCGGAGCTGAAGCACTTGTTGTACGAGTTGTATCATCAGTCGACAAAAAATTGGATGTTAAACCGCGTTTTCTTGAAATTTTCCGAGAGGAAAATTATCCAACAGAGTTTCAATACAAATCTAAGGCAAGGCTTAAAAAATGAATCAAATACTTATGTTTCCTGATCTATGTGTACATTTCATATATACCATATAATGTTCAAAGAACTATTACCCGAGTTTCTTTCTGTGTGTTCTCTGCTTGTAGAACTGTAGAAAACAGGTAAAGGCTGCAGATAGAAAGTGGTCCAATAAGGAAATCTGTTAATTTGTGAGAATTTGAACCAAATACCATGTGTTGACTTTCTTGGACTGGAACTTAAATTTAAGATCTTTATCAAGTATAACTTCGTTTGGTTTTCTGAATTTGGTCTTCCATTATAAACTTTTTTTTTTTTTTTGGCTTCTTTCACGATTCTAGCCATTCTACTAATTTATATTGCCATTGTGGAGATTGATTGCTTGAAGTTTTCTGTTACATTAGTTTGTGTTTTTTCATGCAACAAAGCTCGAAAAGGCTAATAATGTTGTGTTTCTGATCGTTGTTAATGGATTTTTTCTCTCACTAATTTATTATTTGAAAATGAATTTTCAGGTGGTACTATTATTTCAAAGAATTGAAGGTGTTGAAGTATGCTTGTTTGGCATGTATGTGCAAGAATTTGGAACCGACTGTCAGCAGCCAAATCACCGCAGAGTGTACCTCTCGTACCTGGACTCTGTCAAATATTTCAGGCCAGAGATCAAAGCAGTCACAGGGGAGGCTCTTAGAACATTCGTATACCATGAAATTTTGGCAAGTTTTTTCCATATCTTTCTCCTATGAAGTTTTATTCAGCATTCATAGTTCAAGCACCTTAAAAATGCATCTGTGTTCAGATTGGTTATTTGGAATATTGCAAAATGTGTGGTTTCACAAGCTGCTACATATGGGCTTGCCCTCCACTGAAGGGTGAAGACTACATCTTATACTGCCACCCAGAAATTCAGAAGACACCAAAATCTGATAAACTTAGGGAGTGGTAAGTTTGAGCATTTTTTCATTGTAAGACTGTTAAATACATTTTTGGGTGACAACTTATTGTTATTCCTGGATTCGTTTTAATCTCCTCTAGGTATTTGTCCATGTTACGAAAAGCCTCAAAGGAAAGTGTTGTAGTTGAGCTCACTAATCTATACGAGCATTTCTTTGTCTCTACCGGTGAATGCAAAGCAAAGGTGACTGCAGCTCGGTTGCCGTATTTTGATGGAGACTATTGGCCTGGTGCTGCTGAGGACATTATCTATCAACTGCAACAAGAAGAGGACGGGCGTAAACCGCACAAAAAGGGAATTATCAAAAAGAGCATCACAAAAAGAGCTCTAAAAGCATCTGGTCAAACTGATCTCTCAGGAAATGCATCCAAGGATCTGATGTTAATGCACAAAGTAAATTTCCTCCCCTTTTCTAGCAATTATTTTATTCATTCGTTTTCCTTTCCTTTATGGTTCTTTTCCAACACTCGTGAAGGTAAACTAATGTGCTGATATTTCCTATTACTGGTACTTAAGTGAACTTTTATGTTTTCATAGCTTGGCGAGACAATTTCCCCAATGAAGGAAGACTTTATCATGGTTCACTTACAACACTCGTGCTCACACTGTTGCATTCTAATGATTGCCGGAAGTCGTTGGGTGTGCAGGCAATGCAAAAAATTTCAACTCTGTGACAAGTAAGCTTTCATTCTTTTTATACTCTACATAAATTTGTTTGCTTGGTGTCAAGAATTAATCATGATATTTATTTACTCACAGTTTAATTTCTCTCACATGTTGAATAGTAATTCCATTCAACAAATCCTCTAATACCCTGTTCTCACATATNCTTTATCCTGTAAGTTCCTGACAACCTTAAAAAGCTGAAAAAACTAGAGAAAGGCCATAACACACAAAAAAAAAATGGAAAACTAAACTTGCCTACCATCTGTTTGAGCATCTCCAGTCGTACGGCCTTACACAAGTTTTTGCCGAAAATTTGAAATATGCATGGTCCCACAGGTGGAGATCACTGGAATCCCTGACGAAACTAAGGACAATGAGGTCCTTGAGAGCGAATTCTTTGACACAAGGCAGGCTTTCCTCAGCCTCTGTCAAGGTAACCACTACCAATACGATACCTTACGGCGAGCCAAGCACTCGTCAATGATGGTCCTCTACCACCTCCACAACCCCACAGCCCCAGCTTTTGTGTCTACATGTGCTGTGTGCCACCTGGACATAGAAGCGGGCCAGGGCTGGCGCTGTGACACGTGTCCAGATTATGACGTGTGTGGCGCTTGCTACCGCAAGGACGGGGGAGTTGACCATCCTCATCCTTTGACAAGTTGCCAGTCGAGCGATCATGATGCGCAGAACAAAGAAGCCAGGCAGTTACGGGTTACACAGGTAATTTCATGAGTAGTTCTTTTCTATTTAGCCGAGATAATCATTATGCTGTGTTTTGGATGTGTAATTATTGTCCTTTTGCCCTCAGTAAGTTGATGTGGGGTAAAATGGTTAGAAATGAATCACAAAACGTGAACTGACGAGTTATCGTTCCTATCAGATCCAGTGATTATCATTATCTATCCTCGAGTCATATTTTATCCAAAAATAAAATAAGTGGCCCTGATTTGTGATTTTGCAGTTGAGGAAAATGCTTGATCTTCTGGTGCATGCTTCTCAATGTCGGTCTCCACTTTGCCAGTATCCAAACTGTCGGAAGGTTAAGGGACTTTTCCGCCACGGTATGGGTTGCAAGACTCGTGCTTCGGGTGGTTGTCCTTTGTGCAAGAAGATGTGGTACCTCCTGCAGCTGCATGCTCGGGCATGCAAAGAAACAGAGTGCACTGTACCTCGTTGCAGGTGTGTTTTCGAAATAATCTTCTTTGACATTTGTCTGGCTGCTTAAATACTGGTCGTAATTGCGAAATTAGGCCCCAAGTTATATTTCTACCATGATGACTAAGGTTCCTGGCACTTATTAAAGTTACAAATACACCCTCGATATTTGTTTCCCCTTCTCAGTTTATCTTTAAGGAGAGACACTTGCAACCGATTGAGGAGGGTGTGGTAAAAACACCTGTAAATTAATACTTGATAAATTGTAGCCTCAATAGATTCTGTGCTTGTTATTTTGGAACATTAAAACCGCATAGGGCAGATATAATTACCTGATTAGGACTGGGGGCAATACAGTTCTCTAAATTCTATCGTTTT